CCTTTTTCAACTACAAAAACAAAGTTAAAGAGAGTAGAGAAGAAGAGCTTGCACAATGAATTTATAGAGGTTCGGTCCAACCACTTGGAGCCTAATCCTCTACCTTGACCTCACTCACCAAGGATTTCCTCCACACTTTTCACTAAGAAAGACAAGGGTGGCTCAAAGGAGCAACTCAATCCTTTTACAAGAAGATGAGTATTTCTCTCAAACCTCACCCATTTACAATGTAAACCCCACAAATCCTCTCAATAGATCACTCTTGAAGGAATAATCACACCCCCAAGAACATACACTAATAGAACAAGAAGAGGATTACAAGCAATGATCACTCAAAGATCAAAAACTCAAGCTAAAACTCAAGTTAAAACTCAAGTAGGTAGGTAAAGATTTTCAATGCAATGTTCTCCAACCCTCTTCAGATCTGTTACCAACCATATTTATAACCCCTTGCTCGAAAATAGCCGTTTCTAGCCATTAGAGGTCATTAAATGCTCTGCAGGACGCAAAGCTCGAGTTGCAGGATTGTCAGGAGAACCGGCTTAACTTCCTAAAGTCGGCTCTGTACAGCCGGCTCTGTACAGTCGGCTTTACTGGATTGCACCCCATTCTGTTTTTCTCGAGAGTCGGCTACAAAACTTTGAGCCGGCTTTGGAACTCCGACTTTAAATACATTAAATATTCTTCAAATAAGTCGACCGTTGTGCATTAAATGCGCCCTCATAGCCGGCTACAAAGTTGGAGTCGACTCTGCTTCCATTTTCCGCGCGGCCAAAACAGCAGTTGAATTTCTGGCCCATAGAGCCTGCTCAACAAAGTCTGCAGTCGGCTCTCTGCACTTTTTCTTCCCAGAGCCGGCTGCAATTTTATTAAGTCGGCTCTCTGCATATTTTTACCCTTTGAGCCCTTTTTAATGCAATCTCATTTTGCTTACTTTGCAATATATTGACAATTTAACTACACACTTAAATAAATCAATTAGTCACTCAAATGTATTTTGTAATCATCAAAATCATATGTACAACATACACCCTATAAAATTACACACTTTGTTACATACTGATGAAAACCATTAGTTTTAACAATACAAATAATGAAATATGTCAGTTTTAATGACACAAGTAACAGAAATCGACAGTATATAACAAAATATATAATTTTATATAATGTATAATTTTACAGAACATATATACCATCTCCCATATATATATATATATATATATACACACATATACACAAAAAGATCT